GGAATAAAACCCCCTGAAAATTCTGGTAAGAAAAAAAATAACTGAGGGGAATCAATTAATGAAAATAATTAATAAAATTAAATTTTACTTTGAGATTCGTGATTTCTTTGTTGCAGACTTTTCTCTGGTTTTGCTGTTCAGTATTTTCTTTGTACTTGTAGGAAAATAGTGCTTAGATTATCCTCAGTTTTAACACAAGGCAAAAACATGACAGAGATTTGTCTTTCAGTGATAAAACCAGTGAAAATAGAACACTCATGATAACCCTGTCTTTTAAAAACATCAAGTAAAAAGCCCCCCGAGCTCCACGAACATGTTGCAGACTGCACATGTCACATAACTAAGGACTACAATTTTTTTGCCAGAGGCTCCCACATTTAACAAAGGGAAACACTGCTTTCAACAAAAGATGCTATTCTAGTTATGTGCCCTTTTACCCTGTCAGAGAAACAGCTGGTATCATAAAGTCACAGCTAATTTGTATCACGTCTGCACTAACAGTCAGATTCAGTTTGTATCAAACTTTCGAAGTTGGACTTAATACCAGTTGATGGATGACAGCTTTTCTTGCCTCCCCCCTTCTCAAAACACATTTAAACATTGCCTCCCACATAAAAAAAAACCCAATATTCAAAATATAAATGGAATCTTTAACACGTTTCACATAACCAGAATATATGAAAATGTTTAAAACTAGTAAATTTTAAAAAAATATCCTAAAGAGTGAGAAAATTACACCAGCAATTCTGAAGTTCTGTGACAAATAAATAGTGCTTTAAGATAGACATGTGGGTACCAAGTGTAATGGAAAAGAATTTTCTCTTAAAAAGAAAAAAAAACTCACAACTTACTTGCCTCAGGTAATCTCTTGCAGTTTGGGATATCTGTTCTAAAAAAATTTCAGTCTGCCTGCAGACTTTAAAGGTTTTTTCAAGGTCAGCACGCAACAATTTAGGGAAGGCCAATTTCACTTTTTTTTTTAAGGGACCTGTTTCTCATTTATGCTATTAAATGTCATCTACTCCCATTTTAAGATCCCTGAAGCAGAATGCCTGAACTGTGTAAAGGGACTTTAGTGAGAGTCAGGCCAAAGATTTAACAGCTCCAAACCCACAGCGCTCTTGTGAGAAAGAGCTGCAAAGATCAGGCTCTTCTTGGAAAACAGGCATGGGGGAACATCCAGAGATTGGGAGTTCAAGCTCAGTTCATATAAACATCTAACAGCGCTGGTGCACTTCTGAGGCTACCCTCCACAGCACCTGAGTCTACAACATTAGCTGGAGACAAGATACTCTTTTGAGATTTCAGCTACTTCCCACTTCCAGATGATCTAGAAGTATTTGACCAAGGCTCTTTCATCCCACAATCTGAAAGCATCATCGAAATGTAGGCAAGGAAAATCTCACAACATCCTGGGAAGAAGGGAACTTTTTTTAATCTTTTTTTTTTTTTTTTTTAAATGCTGCACAGTATAATGATTATCAAGGTTCTGAACAATTGCCCCATTTATCAGAAAGAGGTTGGTCTGCTCTGTAAACTTACGTACACCAAGTGAACAACGTCCCTGGGAAGTTCAAAGCAGCAGTATCAGTAATGCAGTTTTAAAGTGACAGGAGAGCTTATTGTGACGGAGCTGTGAAAGGGCAGTTGTCAATGAAGACTGAAGAATCCCAGCTCCCAGCCTATCTTTCCCTCAGCGCACGCATTTCCTGCCTTAGAAGGTTAATACTGAGCAGAAGACAGTAAGATACAGCTTCTGCTGTGCCTAAGCTGTGCTTGGCACTGCTCTCCGATGGACTCCTTGCCAGTGAACAGAGCCAAAGCACAGCATGCTCCTGCCACATCCTCTCCAGCGAGCTATATCTGCTCTCTACCTACTGGGAAGATGCAGATAATCAACTCCACTCCCTTCACTCCGAGCACAGCAGTGACTCTGCCCCTACATATGATCCTTGTGCTTGTTCAGATTTTCATTTTTTTTTCAATGTTCTTAAACCTCTGTCTGGCAAGGCATGGTTTATTAGAAGCAGATTTCACTTCAACTACTCAGTGTGTCAGTTTTACAATTCCTAGGTGGTGTAATTCCTGGAAAATAAAGAATATTCTTCATCCAAAATCTTGGATGAGTCACAGCAGGTTTACTTGTTTTGGTTCACCCTTAAATCAAGCATAACTTTCTATATCTAAATGATGCTCTGGTTTTCTTTGTTTCAGCTGCCTGTTAGCTCCAAATTTCTTACAAGCAATAAGACTTTTCTAAGCATATGATGCTCACCAATTGGGCTCAGCAGCCAAAGGCAGCCATCCCATTTTCATGGGACTGTGAATTGCATCAGGAAGAACGACACTACTACTTCCCAGGCTTGATTCCCTGGTATTAAACTAAACTCCAGAGCTGTCTTTAATACCTCTTCAGGAATGCAACGCAACACCAAAGCCACCAGGTTCTCATATCTTACAAAAGAGCTTTTACCAAAAAGTGCCCTGGCTGCACGTAGAGGTCACCTGAAGTCCCAGAAGCTACAGGGAAATTCGGGAAAGATTGAGTGCTGCACCTCCTCTTCGAAGCAGCAGAGAGGACAGATGAGAGAAGGAAGACCCTATGCTCATCTCAGTTTAATTCATCACAATAAAGCCATAGAAAAATATCTTCAGAGACTCTACAGAAATGCTTTCAGTCTTGAATATTTAGGAGAAAAGCCGACCAAAACCTTTCTTACAGTGTTTCCTAATGGCAAACATCTTGACTTTTAACAAAATGTACATTTCCAAGGAAGATAAAAACCAATCATCACTAGCCAGTGACTTTGAACCTTAACCCTTATAGGGTATCACTTATTTTTGAAAGTAATTTATATAAGCATGTCTCAGATTGTCTTCTAAAGTCAGATTTGGCTGTATTCAAGAACTAACAGAAGAGTTACAGGACTGTCATTAAAATACTAAACTATATTACTGCTTTTTATATTCAGATAAAGAGATGTGCCATGTTTCCAGTACTTTACGGAGATAATGCTTGTTTTTTCCTTTCCAAACGTGTGTATTGGTCCACACCATTTGCTTTAATGATTTTCTAAAGGCAACTAATGGCCTTTTTCATGGTATTTCCATTCACATCCCCTGAAGACCACCCTCCTATTCGGCCAGCTTTACAATGTGAAAGAGGAGGTTAAGTGTGGAAAGTATTATCAGATTTTGCCTTTCCTATTTTGCCTTTCCTTCCTCGAGACAGAATTCTTCCACCACTTTGACAAGTGCTGTGCAAGCACCTTGGGGACTTCAGCATGAGACAGATGACACTCGCCCTGCATCCTACACTTGGAGCAGATGAATGAGTCCCTGAAGGACAGATTTTCAGATGCAATGTATCCATCAAAGTAAGGCACCAGCTCAGAAATACACTGAAGCACAGTCTCAGTTTTGAGGGACTGAAGTGCCTTCTTTCAACACCATAGACTGCATGCTCAGACATGTCTACAAATACAACTCCAGTTGCCAAGCTGTCAGAAAAACTCTGGAGGGCAGTCACTGCTCTCTTTGAATATCCTATCCTAAGCACAGGGGGAGAGCACTTGCATTTCTGATCCCATTTGCTTTTGGACAGTATTGCCTCCCTCTCCTTGGGTCAAATTTTTAAGGAATTTAGGTACCTCATAAATGCACCACCCAAGGAAGCACATGGGAACTTAAATTCAGTGATCTCACTGGAAGAAGTGTTTCATGGGAAATTCTAGAACATTTAGGCTGGTTCTGAATCAGAAAGAAATCCTAATTTTGGAATATCAACATTTCCTACAAACTGGAAATCCCAGATTGTATCTGGCTTCGGTCTTAAACACTTCCCCCACAAAGGCTTGAAAGTAATGCAGAACTCCGAAACAGCAACCAGGGCAGAGAACAGCCTGCAACAATTATCAGCCCATTCAGCACTTGCACAAACATTCTCAGAAGTGTAGGCAAAGTTAAATTCTCTTCCCCAGGAACGATGACAAAAACAGCTAAAACGGGCCCAGACCCAGCATTCTGATGGGGGGGAAGGCTGATGGAGACGAAAGGCAATGCAGCCAGAGTTCAGCCTGCCGCCATGTCTCTCTCCTCCTCCACGCTGCTCTTGCCAAAAAGAGGGGGAACGGAGCAGAGGTACAGAGGAGGTCCAGGCACACAGAGAACATAGTCACTCATCAGTGAGTATAAGCAGCTCACTGTAGCCTGAATTAACTGAAGATGATGGTATCTAAGGGAGTTGCCTTGACCCCAGTGCAATATTTCTGACCCCATCAGTCTGTTGTCATAGGCACTGCTTAAACTTAGAGCCAGTCCTCAGTTTGTCTCCAGTCTGGAATTTCCATATATCGAGGGGCCGACGTTTACACACATTATAAACACTTCCTTTAAATGGTTTGTGAGCCCTCGCTTGTTCTGGCAGTGAAAGAACAGTTTGTAAAAAATGTTTAAGTCTTACACGTTGTAAATAGTCAGTAAACACAGTTACTTGGACTCTCACAGACTCCTAAGAGCCTGCTTGCTTTAAAAAAAGAACAGAAGACAAAACAGGACAGTAACACACCAGCGCATGATCTTAACACAAGTAAATAAAATTTAAGACTCCCATTGCAGGCAAAAATCTTGCTGAAATCCAGCAGAGAAATAAATATAGCTATTAAAAGAACGGCCATACACCCACAAAACGATTACTGCAAAATTTAAAGATTTTGATTTGAAGATAAAATTCAAGATAAAATCCTTTGAATCTACTATCAGTTCTGAATAAAGTAATCTCTGGTGACAGTGATCCCAGAGGAATAGGAGTCAAGGGTCTGACTGCAGGGCTGTCTACTGATTTTCAGAGGGATTTGGATCAGCCCCTAAAGAAGCAAGCAAGCACACAGGATGAAAAAAAAAATCCAATATAAAAGCCTCAGTACAAAAACCGGATACAGAAAAACCTTCTGAATACCACAAGCAAGGAAATCTGAGGTAACTGCTTTGATCATACTCACAGGAAGGCAATCAGAGGAAATATTCTGAGCTTTTCAGTAACAAACCAGCTGCTGATGAATTCAAAATGATGACTCCAGAAAATAGAGGTGATCACTGTACAGAAATAGAAAATAAAGAATATTGTTTAGCAAGGGCATAATTATTGCACAGTCGTCATTTCTCTTTAGTAAAGTCTTCTTTAACAACACCCCTACAAAGGTTTTTAAAGTATGGAATAAAACAGAAAAATTTTGCAAGAGACCGAAAAAACCCATTACCAACAGCTCTATAAATTAGAGTTTGACGCAGACTTTGATTTCCCAAAAATCTCTCAACAAAGTCACTCACTAAAACCTCTTTAAGAAGTGAAGCTGATACAGGTTAAGCTGAACATTCTCTTGTGATTGGTAAAAGACGAAGCAAAGCATCAGACCAGCGATGAGTTTTCATAACAGAGCAAGGTTTCCAGCATACCTTCCTAAGGATCTACACTGAGACCTGTAGTACTCAACATATTCATAAAAGCACTCTGCAAAAGCAGATGAACAGTGAGAACACAGAGACTGTAGACGATACAAAACTATTCATTATAATAAAATCTGAAGTCAATACAAAGAA